GCGGAGAGGAGCCTGGAGCAAGTTTCGGAACAATTTTAAGTTAAGTGGCTTACGAGATATTGAACTTATAAAATTTGACAAAAATTGACATCTCGATAAATTTAAAAGTAAAGTGGAGACCCCTTATTTTTATTTTAAAATAGTGTTAAGAAGTACGAAAGGATTATATGTACAAATTTTTGGATTTTTCTAGTGAGTGGTTTTATAGTTATAAATTTTTTAATATTTTTAGTTAACATGTGCTACCCTTAAAATAAGTACTAGAAAATTATAAAATACATAATTAATATAAGGGTCTTGATAGTAATACATGCAAATTTTTGTAGAATTTTAAAAACATAATTTAACTTTAAAAATCAAATTTTCTAAAAAATTTATCTTATTTTGTAAAAAATCTAATTAAAGGGGGCTGAAAAAACCAAAAGATTTATATAGACGTAAGCTCGACACCGAGACCTTTTGAACGAGCCCAAACACGGGTCAAATCCGTTTAAAAACGGCGGAAATAGTAATTTATTGCCTGGACCAGCGGCCATTTTGAAAATTTTAAAAACGTAATAGCTCTGCTTGTGGAGGTAGTAGTGAATTGCGGTTTTGGACTGTGCTACTATTAGATCGATTTCTAGCCACCTACAGAAATTTGGGCTTTTTTTCAGCTATAGTTTTTCAGGGTCCTGAAATCGATTCCATCAGATAGAATTGAAGAAGTTTAGTAGTATAGTCGAAGCGCGGGTCTTTTGCGGTTTCTGGAAGCAGAGTTATTAGCAGTCAAACATCAACTTTGACATTTCAGCAGCCATCTTGGAAAATTAAAATAGGTCATAACTCCTGAACTAGGCGTCGTAGGAGGCTGGGATTTTGACTCTAGACGTCGGCAGTTAGTGCTGGAACAGACAATTAACTTTTCAGGAAATTTCAGCGTTCAAAAATTATAGTCCTGAAAACTACACCATATGATAGCCCTGGTCGAGCCCATCAAAACGAGCCCGGGTGCGGAGCTGTAGGCCCATCCGTTCGGGAGTTACAGCGCATTAACCCTAATTTTGGCGGCCATCTTGTTCGAAAACCATTATTTGAAAGCGCTGTAACTTGGGAACATATTGGGCTAGGTATACCGAGTTGGGGTTCCTTGAATAGGGCTCGAGGAGTGCTGTTAGGTGGTGTTTAGAAATAGACTCTACGTAGAGCCAATAATTTGTTAGCCTGTAAGTCTCTTCATAATGAATATTTTTGGAAATTTTTTAAAGTTACTAGGCATATATCTTCTAGAAATTCTTGTTTTATTATATATTTAATTTCTTTGTATATGTTATAGAGTAAGCAAATATAGACGTATCTACATAGTAGATATTAACATATTAAAGTATCTTAATCGAAGAGTTAATAATATTAAAATTGGAATTGTGTTTGCAGACTGACTCTAGATAGAGTCATATAGGTACATTTAGACTAAAATATTCTTACTTTAAAAATATTACTGACATATATATGTACATAAATAGATACAATAAAAAAAAAATTTAAAACTTTTACAAACCTTTAGTTAATTGACATAAATACTTGATTTATAGTTTTATTATTGTTGACTGTTGAAACCTAACGCGTTTCCTTGGCAAAATGTTTGGCTTCCGCACCCCCACAAAACAGACCGAGGATAGTGCCAAGGACAAAAGTCCTCAGGATTCACCAAACGCGATAGAGAAGGCAGGGCCTTCTACTAAAAGGGACCAAATAACACAGGCCCCTAGTGTGAGAAAAAGTATCGGTGAGTGGGAAACAGGCAAAATAGACGCGGAAGCTGTAAAACAGCCCTCCCCGAATAGGGCTCCATTGGCCCGACAGAAACAAAAAGTTATTCCATCCCAGGAAACAAGTGGAACATCCCGTAAAATAGTAGCTAAGAGCACAGAGAGCTCACCAAAAATCGAAACAACAAAACATGCGGATCGCCTGACTGAAGCTCGAGCCTGTCTGCAAAAGGCCGAACTACATCTTAACATTGGAACAATTATATCATTTTTATTTGGATTATATTATAAATATAATGTATTTTATAATACATCATATATACGTTAATGATCCTTCCGCAGGTTCCCCTACGGAAACCTTGTTACGACTTTTACTTCCTCTAAATGATCAAGTTTGGTCAACTTCCCAACAACGCCGACGGCCGTGAAGCCACCGCGTGTCGGTCCGAAGACCTCACTAAATCATTCAATCGGTAGTAGCGACGGGCGGTGTGTACAAAGGGCAGGGACGTAATCAACGCGAGCTTATGACTCGCGCTTACTAGGAATTCCTCGTTTATGGGGGATAATTGCAAACCCCAATCCCCAGCACGAAGGAGTTTCAACGGGTTGCCCGGGCCTCTAGGCCAGGGAGAACATGCTGATTCCTTCAGTGTAGCGCGCGTGCGGCCCAGGACATCTAAGGGCATCACAGACCTGTTATTGCTCAATCTCGTGCGGCTCGAAGCCGCCGGTCCCTCTAAGAAGAATTTTAATACGTCGCCAGTGAGTTGCGCGACCGAAGCCACGCACACCTAAATGACGACGCCTATTTAGCAGGCTAGAGTCTCGTTCGTTACCGGAATTAACCAGACAAATCGCTCCACCAACTAAGAACGGCCATGCACCACCACCCACCGAATCAAGAAAGAGCTGTTAATCTGTCAATCCTTCCGGTGTCCGGGCCTGGTGAGATTTCCCGTGTTGAGTCAAATTAAGCCGCAGGCTCCACTCCTGGTGGTGCCCTTCCGTCAATTCCTTTAAGTTTCAGCTTTGCAACCATACTCCCCCCGGAGTCCAAAATCTTTGGTTTCCCGGAAGCTGCCCGCCGAGCCATCGTAGTAACGTCGGCGGATCGCTAGATGACATATTTACGGTTAGAACTAGGGCGGTATCTAATCGCCTTCGAACCTCTAACTTTCGTTCTTGATTGATGAAAACACCTTTGGCAAATGCTTTCGCTGATGTTCGTCTTGCGACGATCCAAGAATTTCACCTCTAACGTCGCAATACGAATGCCCCCAGTTATCCCTATTAATCATTACCTCGGAGTTCTGAAAACCAACAAAATAGAACCGAGATCATATTCTATTATTCCATGCACGAAATATTCAAGCAGCATTTTGAGCCCGCTTTGAGCACTCTAATTTGTTCAAAGTAAAATTGTCGGCCCATCTCGACACTCACTGAAGAGCACCGCGATAGGATTTTGATATTGAACCGCCGTTTTACCGACGGCTCACCGACGATATGCTCCGCAGACGTGTCAGTATCACCGCGGATGCGGTGCACCGACAGCGCGGCGCACAAATGCAACTACGAGCTTTTTAACCGCAACAATTTTAGTATACGCTATTGGAGCTGGAGTTACCGCGGCTGCTGGCACCAGACTTGCCCTCCAATTGTTCCTCGTTAAAATATTTAAAGTGTACTCATTCCGATTACGAGGCCTCGTAAGAGTCCCGTATCGTTATTTTTCGTCACTACCTCCCCGTGCCGGGAGTGGGTAATTTGCGCGCCTGCTGCCTTCCTTGGATGTGGTAGCCGTTTCTCAGGCTCCCTCTCCGGAATCGAACCCTGATTCCCCGTTACCCGTGACAACCATGGTAGTCGCAGAAACTACCATCGAAAGTTGATAAGGCAGACATTTGAAAGATGCGTCGCCGGTGCTGGACCATGCGATCGGCAAAAGTTATCCAGATTCATCAAAATTAACGACTTCGGACGCGAGGCCCTCCGTCGATTGGTTTTGATCTAATAAAAGCACTCATCCCATCACTGGTCAGAGTTCTGATTGCATGTATTAGCTCTAGAATTACCACAGTTATCCAAGTAACCGAGGTAAGATCTAAGGAACCAAAACTGATATATTGAGCCATTCGCGGTATCGCCTTAATACGGCTTGCACTGAGACATGCATGGCTTAATCTTTGAGACAAGCATATAACTACTGGCAGGATCAACCAGGGAGCTGACAGAGAACTTATAGTCTCGTTCACTCCGAGACACACATGCAACGCGACGCGAAAGCGTGTGAACGCTAAAACGCACCGGTGCCGTATGAATTTATGAATTCGTATTCAGTCTGGTCACGGGCGAGATCGGGTATCTCACGTCACTCGCACGTATTAGCCCAGACCTACTGCGGACGACGTTAAGTGCGCCCAATTCATAGAACGTTCGACAACGAGACATCTTTGATATACTTCACTATGTTAAATATCTTTTAACATTTGATTTTATATTCGTGAATAACATGAACGATAAATATCGCCCGGTGTTAGAGAGATCATATCCATTTGTTGAAATAAAATACAGTCCCGCGAGCGATGACAATCGCTCTGAGGCGACTAGCGTAATTTAGCGGACGTTAACGATGACGCGAAGTCGACTCGCGCACCGAACGTGAACCGCGTTAATTAAACGAACGCTCAAAAACGTATTACCGCTTAAAACAACGGAGACGTCGTCCGACACAGTTCAACGAAATATCACACACAACTCTCCAAACATCTAATCGAACTAACGTAAGACTTTGATTCTGTGGTTGTGCGTTCCGACCAGCACCGCTCGTGCTTAGTCCATATATATGTACGACTGCAGGTATGCGTCTCCGGCAGTTTAAAATCAAAAGTTTCCTATCTTTTTTTATAGTCGTCGCTTTCATAAAAACTTTTTTATTTATCGATTGCAACGTACTATAGGACCTAAAGAAAATAAAAAAACAAACAAATAAACAAATAAACAAACAAACACACACACACCTATCTCGTGGGTAAAGTCGTTGAGGGTGTTCGTGTATTACATGAGAAATTCTCCTAAGATACGGAGAGTGTTCGCGTATAGACATAACGTCTTACAAGAATTCTATTAATTTAGCAACGACGAGCCTTCACTGAAGTAAAACTCACCTGTTTCACTACTGGTGATCATGATCATCATATTCATCATCACCAGAATAGATTACGCCGATGTTTAAACGTATCCTGCAGTTCACACCACCACCGCCACCACCATATCATCATCATCACCACCACCACCACCACCACCACCACCACCACCACCACCACCACCACCACCATCATCATCATCATCATCGTCGTCGTCGTCGTTATCATCATCATCATCATCATCATCATAATCACCATCAACAACAACAACATCATCATCATCATCATCGTCGTCGTGGTCGTCGTCGTCGACACACAACATCATCGCAATTATTAAGTCCCTCCACAGGTACACCGATGTAGATAGCCCTCGCCCAAATAATGCCACAAAGCACGGTCCTGAGCCACCTGCATCCATCGACTCTCACAGCACGTATCTATCTATCTATCTATCTATCTACATCATCGGATCGTAGAGTCCGTTTATTATAGGAAAAAAGGAGCGTGTAGGCGTATAGAGATATAAAAACACTATTTATTAAAGTACATATATGTATAGTCGTTGGGCGTGTTCGTCTATTACTTGAGAAATTCACCAAAGATACGGAGAGCGTTCGCGTATAGACATACCGTCGTATAAGAATTCTATTAATTTAGCAACGACGTGCCTTCACTGTGGTAAAACTCACCTGTCTCACTTGGTTTGATGTTTTGATGTTATATATGTTAAATATTGTTTTTATAATAACTTACCTGCTTGCTGCTTAAAATCTTCATAATATATTGTGTAAGTTTTCTCAAGTTGTTTTGTCATTGTTGTCCGAACTATTCTATTGTTGTAAGTAGATCGCTCTCCTTTTTCATGTAAGCTGTTTTTATTATTCGTTCACGGTGAACTAATCGTGTATTGTTTCCGAAGAACAAAAAGTAAATTGTAAACGACACTTAAATCTTATTTGTGTTCATAATGTGTCCAATTAACTTCAACGAGAATTAAAATTAATTGTCCATACTATTTTTATGGCATCACAGTGAAGATAGTTAAATATAACTTTTATGCGTGTACTTTATAACATGTCGTAGGATAATAAGATTAACAGATATTCTAGGATATTCGCGAAAACATGGCTAGTTAGATGATCGGTCTAATCATTTCGACAGATTCTAAAACCGAATCAGCGCGCCCCGACTCCACGTAGTCTTGTCTGCCCTACCCCTAGAGTGTTTTTGTAAATCCGTAGGCGCGGAGGGAGAGCAGCCCCCGCCCGCTGTAGCAAATCGCAGTCACCCGTGCGAGCCGTAGCGGCTGAGGCTGGTCGCCGAAGGCGACCAATAAGCCGAAGCTGCGGAGGTGAGCATGGGTGACTGCGATTTGCTACGCAAGGGCGAAGGGGCTGCACTTCCCGCAGCGCCGAAGATGTTACAGAAGTAACTTTTGGTCAATATTAGTCAATATATTATATTCTATAACCTACATAAATACTAATAATTTTCTTTTCATTTTTTATTCTATTATCACAGAATTGTTAGGCGAAAAGGAAGTGCTTGTATTAATAATATGTTATTTTGTACACTAATTTTTATAAAATTAACACACACATTAATAATATATGATCTAATAGCGTTTTTGCTCGATTAGCGCATCCTACTATTATATTCCTATTAATTCATAGTAAATAAAAATCTTAGAAACATTTAGATATATCGGTAATATACATATAACTAAATAACAAATATATCAAATAATTATAGTCCTTACGAGTATATAAATAGATTACTGAAATTTCTTATATAGTAGTAAACGATACTCAGTACGCATAACGATATGAGTCGTTGTAATGAATGGAACTACGTTATTACAGATACAAAGTTACTGAACGCGTTCGCGTATTGGATTTAAAAAAAAATACAAAAGAAAAGAAATCATAAGACACCGATAGTGTTCGCGTATAGAGACAGATTGATCAGTGATTTTATAATTTATTTTTAAAGTCAACTAACGTATTCGCGTATAGAAATAACGTATGCGCGCACAATAAAAACTCTTATCATCGTCATGTAAGTATAATAAAACCACACAACACAAATAATATGTTCTCACACAAAACACTTACGTCCCCGCACTCACGTACGGACACGGCGAGTGCGTTGCGCTGTTGATCGTCCTCAGACGAATCACCTGGCGTAGGGCTGAGTCTCAACAGATCGCAGCACGACGCTGCTCTACCGAGCACAACACCCCGCCAGGAACGTAAGTCGTCTACAGACTATTCCGAGCTCCGACATCGAACTGAGGTTAATTCGGACCCTCGGCGCCGTGGTGCACGTGTTAAGACCGATAACACCGATCGCCGAGATCCAAATGGGCTTCGACGTCGCACCGCACGAGTGCAGAGCGACTAGTAAAGTCACATTGTTTAGAGCCTCCCGACTCTCGGAGCTCCACAGTGAGCATATCCTTGCCGGATTCGGCTAGGCTGGCTTCGGCCTTAGAGGCGTTCAGGCATAATCCCGCGGATGGTAGCTTCGCACCACCGGCCGCTCGGCCGAGTGCATGAACCAAATGTCCGAAACTGCGGTTCCTCTCGTACTGAGCAGTATTACTATCGCAACGACGAGCCATCAGTAGGGTAAAACTAACCTGTCTCACGACGGTCTAAACCCAGCTCACGTTCCCTTTTGATGGGTGAACAATCCAACGCTTGGCGAATTTTGCTTCGCAATGATAGTGTAACGCTCCCCCCCCTCTCTCATATAATAAATATATTAGATATAATTAATTTACCCCTTTTCGATAAAAATTATATATATGTGACCAGGATTAATAAATTATGTTTAGATCTTTCTAAATGATCTTTCTAAAGGTTTAATAATAGGCCGTTTGTAATATTTTGGCGTGATCGTCTTAGTTAGGACCCTTATTTACGTTGTGTTTGTTTAGTAACTTAGTTCTTTTAGGTATCTTTTGGAAGAATGAATATTTACTAGAGCAATTGAAAGCTGTTGGTAGTGCCTTATAAGCTAAGTGAACCCCGTTCACGAAGACAGGGCTCGAAAAAAGGTTAAGAACGTAAAACGTCCCTATTCCACTTGCATCAGGTTTACATTATTAATTAATCCCTTCCCGCTCGGAAAAGGCTCAAAATATATTTATACAAAATACCCGATACAAGGGCTTCGCTCTCCTACATTTATTTAAAAAAAATGTAGGGGGAGGTACACGGCCCCACACACGCCTTGCACGGTGAGTGCCAACCATTTTGACGCACTCCCCCCGAAGGGAACGCTAATTCGGGAACTGGACCGTAGTCCACAGCAAAATAACTGGCGAACCAGTAAAAGAGGCTTGGCCCCTTGTTAGTGCGTAAGCACAAACATCGACCGAAGTCGCGCATGGCAATGCGTGTAAACGCCATACAGAATACGAACGAATCCAGCCACAGTGAATGTACGTCACACGGTTTAGGTAAATAGGCACACTGGCCGTAAACCCTCTGTGAGCGCCACCACCTGCCAGACCGCCGCTCCTGCAGACGTGATGTAAGTGTATGGCATCACCACCAATTGCATGATCAGCACGGCTACTAGCCGCAGAGCGTGTCATGAGTCTACCGCTCACCTCAAGGGAATGGGGTCCCACGTTGTGCGGCTTTCGGCCGCAGCCTTGAGAGTCTCCTCAGATCCTCCCGCCAGCTACCACCCGCATGAGGTCGACACATATGCTCCACCAACCAATACAACGGCAGATATAGCCAAAAGGCAGTTATAAGATAAGAGTAATAATTCGCCATCAGAAAGGGTTTGTGTCACTGACGTTGAGTAAATGCATTTTCGATCATGTTTGTCTCACCCACCAACAAGTTGCCTTCAATCATTCAAAGGTGGGAAAGTTACAGAGATATAATATTATGTTGTTATATAAAACATCGTGGAGGGCAGACAGTCTGCAGCCCCGCAATGAAGGGACCCGACTTGGGCAAAGCTACTTAGGTGTTGAGTCAAACCAAGACGCAGAGAGCGCCATTGAGAATAGCGTCCCACCAAACAACCATCGCAGAGACGCAATGCTGCAGAACGCAACAAGCATCAATACGACTATCGTCGGGCTTACACCATCCCAAGGTCCCCCATACATCCCAGCAGACATCACCACCCGCATACCTCCATCGACCAGAACCACAAGAGAGCGTCGAATCAGGCGCAGCACACCCGCAGATCCATCACAAGACGCAATACCGCAAGTAGCAGTAAGCATCAAAGCAACTATCATACGGGTGGCGCCCCCCTCACAACACACCCACATGACTCCTATCGACTTTGGTAACAAAGTTGGTATTGTTGTTATATAAAAAATATCACCAACGTATCATAGTAGCACACTACTAAGACGCCAGTGGACAAAACTCCACGTATCATAGCGCTAATGCACTAAGACATGAAGTTGAATATGCCTGTTACACTTAAAAGTGCTACCAAACACACTCATCATCTCAATCCGAAAGATAGACGACACATCGCTATGCGCAACGACGTCGCCCACAAACGGTATGGGTGTGCGATGTCCACGGGAAAGCCGTATTGCTACAACAAACCCGCTTACCACCAGCACTAAGATGTTAATTGTATACCTCCATCGACCAGAACCACAAGAATGCGTCGAATCAGGCGCAGCACACCCGCAGATCCATCACAAGACGCAAT